GGCCTGGGCACTGTTCTTGATCTCCTTTTGCTCAAGGCTAGTGCTCTACCACTTAAGTCACAGCTTCACTTCTGGCTTTTTCTGTGATTAATTGGAGATGAGTCTCATGGCCTTTCCTGCCCAGGCTAGCTTTGAACCACGATCTTCAGATTTCAGTCTCCTTAGTAGCTAGGAGTACAGGCATGAGGCACCAGTGCCCAGCCAAAATCAGAGTTTGAGATCTCCTGTATATACTACAAAGAAAAATGTTGGGATGATGCCTGAGAGATTGACTGACTTAACTAAAACACTATTTTTGAACCACTAGAACTGATGACTGTTCAGTCTAAGAGCTAAGATGTAGAAGTTTTGGTTCCAGATGCAGTTGGGGAAATTGATCATGGATATATTCGAGAACCTGGAGCCCAAAGCTCTTCACTCAAATCCAGTGAGGCAGGCAACAGGAGTAGTTAGGCCATAAGCTAAGCTTCTCTGTGTCTTCCTGCCCCTTGAAAGCTTCACATTGGGAGATGGGCGACCCACTTCCCCTTTCCCAGCAGTTAAGGGTCAGGGCTTGCTGACCTCTACTTTCTCTCCCCAGGAAAGGGCGATCTGATTGGTTGTGAGCTGCCCCAGCGAGAGCAGGTGGTAAAGGCCAATGCTGATGTCAAAGGCCTGACATACTGTGTGCTGCAGTGTCTGCAGCTGGCTGGGCTGCATGAGAGCCTTGCACTGTATCCTGAGTTTGCCCCACGCTTCAGCCGTGGCCTCCGAGGGGAGCTCAGCTACAACTTGGGTGCTGGAGGCTCTGCGGAGGTGAGGGTGCTGGGTATGTGCGTAGGGAGGTTGGGGTGATGGAGCTGAAGGATAGGGCTGGGAAAGGCATGGCGTGCTATGAAAGTCCCCCCCCCCTCCCAGGGCAGAGGTCCACACTGTCCTTTCACACCCACAAATTGCCTTATTTTTTGTTTAACTTTATTATTATTATTTTTTTGGGTGCCAGTCGAGGAGCTTGAACTCAAGACCTGAGTGCTCCTCCTGAGCATTTTTTTGCTCAAGAGTGGTGCTCTACTACTTAAGCCAACACTCTACTTTTGGCTTCTTTGGTGATTAATTGGAGCTAAGACCTCCCTGACTTTCCTGTCTGGGCTGGCTTTGAACAAGCATGAGCCACCAATGCCCAGCCACACTGCCTTTTAAAAGCTGTCCCAGCTGTCCTTAGCCATCCCTCTTAGCCACCCCATGTGAGACACCCTGGCTCAGTTCAGAGCAAAGTTTTAGGTGAAGGGAGCTGAATGGTTCTAGTTCTGCTGAACTTTGGGGTTTAGGTCAATATTTCTAAACCAGCGTGAGTGCGTGCGTGCGTGCGTGCATGCGTGCCTGTGTGTGTGTGTGTTGGTTTGAGCACTGTCTCTTAGCTTTATCACTCAAGAATGCTATTCTAACACTTTGGTAACAGCTCTACCTTTGGCTTTTGGGTGGTATTTTTGTTGTTGCTGTTGTTTCAGTCCTGGGGCTTGAATTCAGGGTCTGGGAGCTGTTCCTAAGAATTTTTGCTAAAACCAAAACTACCACTTGAGCCACACCTCCACTTCTGGCTCTTTGATGGTTAATTGGAGATAAGAGTCTCATGAACTTTCCTGCCTGGGCTGGGTTTGAACCTCTTAACCTCCTCAGTAGTATTACAGGTGTGAGCCACCAGCACCTGGTCACAAATAGTTTTTCAATATTGCATACTCTTGGATAGTTCTGCTAGCCTGAAGACCAAGAAGAGGGGTAGTATGTCCACAGTCTGGTGGAATATTGAGGGGCAGCTAATGCCTTCTGAGCTTGGTAGCCTCATGTGGTGACCGACATGTGGGTCAGCTCCTCTTGACTAGGCCTCTTTCTCTAGCAGGTGGGGAATCTCCAGTCCACAAGCTATATGAGGCCTGCGAAGTCATTTCTCATCAGCTCTCTGTGGCCCGTCTATTTGTATTGATAATTTTATGTGACCTTTAATGATGTTACAAATATCCAAATGGCCCCTGGTTGCAGTAATTGGTTATTGTGTTTAATAAAGATGGCTCATTTGTTCTAGGGGACACTATGGCTTACTAGGGGAAGTGACTGAGATACAGCAGGGGCGGATGGCATCAATTCCCTGTCCCCCACTGTCTACAGGTGGATACCAGCTCCTTGAGTGGTGACAACACACTCATGTCTACACTGGAGGAGAAGGAGACAGATGGGGAGCAGGGCCCCACAGCCTCCCCTGCCCCAGCGGATGAGCCTTCCAGCCCCCTCTTGTCCCCTGGTTGCACTTCTTCATCCTCAGCTGCTAAGCTGCTGTCTCCACGTCGAACTGCACCCCGACCTCGTTTAGGTGGCAGAGGGAGGCCAAGCAGGGCAGGGGCTTTGAAGGCTGAGGCTGGGCCCTCTTCTCACCCACGGAAACTAGAAGGGCTGCAGCTGCCCCATATGCCATGGAATGTACCCCCGGATCTGAGCCCCAGGTGAGCAGGCCCTGGACCCCCATGGCAGGAAGGTGGTGATAATATACCAGCCCCAGCTGGTGTATCCCTACTGAGCCTGAGCCCTGCCTCCCATTTTCACTAGCATACTTTTCTTAGAGACAGTCTGGCTATGTAGCCTAGGCTGGCCTTGAACTCTAAACCTCCTGCCTCAGTCTCCTGAGTACTGGGATCACTGGTGTGCACAACTGGACCCAATTCCATCCTCCCAGCCTGCATGGTCCAAGTCTGATTCCTCCAGGAATTCTTCCAAACTGTCCCATTCCCTGTTGGTAGAAAGTTTACCCTGCTCTGACCTCTTGAGTTTTGAACTTAAACTTGCTTCCTGAGCTAAAATGCAAACATGGAAACTAGACCTTAGCTTTCTCTTGTGACCTTCAGGTGCCTGAAGCCACTGGTGCCTTGATGTGTGGACACCAAAGCATCTTGTCCCCTATAGTACAATGGTTGCCTGTCAACTGATTTGTTGTTCTGTTTTCCACAGGGTTGTAGATGGCATTGAGGATGGCTGTGGCTCTGACCAACCCAAGTTCTCTTTCCGAGTGGGTCAGTCTGGCCCAGAATGTAGCAGCAGCCCCTCCCCTGGACCAGGTACAGAACTTAGGACAGAGTATGTTGGTGGGGTGGCCCTTTGCCCTGTGGGCCTTTGAGCATATTAGAGAAGCTGGCAGAGGGCAAGTTGGCCTGGAAGCCTCTTGCCCTCGCTTATATCTGTGTCATTTGCATGGGGCTTTGGTAGTGAAGTCTAGCTTGGGACCAGGTATTAGCCTTCTGGCTATTGAACTTGCCATCTCTAGTCCAGCTGTTTTTGTGTGTTGAGTAAGAACATGTAAATTTTGGGCAAGGTGGTGCAAGCATTAATCCTAATTACTTGGGATATGGTGAGGCCAGCCCAGACAGAAAAGCTCACAAGACTCCTAAACTAATGCGCTGCAAACAGTGTATTGTCCATGCTCAATCCTCAGCAACATAAGGAGGCACAAGTAGCCTCCAGGCTGACCAGGGCATAAATCGAAACTCTACCTCAAAAATAATGGAAAGGGAGGCTAGAGGCAGCAAAGCCAAGGTTGAGCTCAAAAAAAAAAAAAAAAAAAGGTATAAAACATTAGGACAATGTCTGGCTCACAGAGGGACAAAGGGCAGGGGAACTAGGGTTGAAAGTAAACAAAGCTCCCAGGAATGTCCATCTCCCTGAAGGAGAGAACAAGGGACAGGCACAAAGAACAATTTCCTGAGGGAGGAGAGTGCTGAGTGTTGGGACTCAGGGCTTCTGGGAGAGGGTTTCTTGCCCTTGGCAGTTTGAACAGCAGAAGGGGGTTGCTGCTGGAGTCTGGCCCTGCCTGATCAAAGTGATCTATTCTAATGTGATCAGGACCTGGATCCCACACTGCCTGCCTTGTACAAGGCCTGGTTGATAAGCCCACGCTCTCCACAGAAAGTGGCCTGCTTACGGTTCCACTTGGACCCACTGAGGCGAGGAGCACAGACACACTGGACAAGCTGCAGAAGGCGGTGGGTGAGGGCGGGGTGAGGGCAGGGAGGGGAAGGGCAGGGGCTTCTGTGCTGTGGAATGGCTGACACACTGGCCTCACCTCCTCCTCACTCTGAAGGTGATGGAACTATCTGAGCAAGTGCTGCAGATGCGGGAAGGGCTGCAGTCACTCAGACAGGCTGTGCAGCTCGCCTTGGTACCCCAGGGGGAAGGCCCATGTCCTCGAGCATCAGGAGAGGGGCCATGCCCAGCCAGCATTTCTGGGCTCCTGCAGCCTCTGCGTGTGGACACTGGAGCATCCTCCTACTGCCTGCAGCCATCAGCTGGCTCTGTTTTAAGTGGGACCTGGCCCCATGCTCACTCAGGTCCCCCTCCCCTCATGGCACCCTGGCCCTGGGGTCCTCCAGCATCCCAGAGCTCCCCTTGGCCTCGATCCACGACTTTATGGACCTCCACCTCAGAATCAGAGCCCCCTGGCTCTGGAGAACTGTGCTCTGAACCCAGCACCCCGGCCTCACCCCCTCCTGAGGAAGGGACCAGGACTGGGCCCCCAGAGCCAGTGAGCCAGGCTGAGGCTGCCAGCACTGGAGAGCCCCCACCAGGGACTGGGAGCCAGGCCTTGCCCTGGGACCCCCACAGTCTAGAGATGGTGCTTATTGGCTGCCACGGCTCTGGCACAGTCCAGTGGACCCAGGAAGAAGGCACAGGGGTCTGATTGCCAGCCCAAGTTCAGTACTGCAGACATTAGTACCTGCCCAACCTCAGGACTCTAAGCTGATCAATGGCTCGAGACAGTTGCTGGAGAAGAGGGCTTGGCGCTGGACCTCAAGGGTATGCTAGGGCCTTGAGGAGTCCACAGGTCCTACTTCTGGGCCCCTCCTCTGCCTGCTTCACTGACCACCTCATCCTGCTTTGCAGGCTGCAGGCAGAGAACAAGGAGGAGCTCTGCTGTCCCTTGCATGTGCCCCTGTCTCTACTTGTCCTTACCTTTTTTTATATTAAAAAAATAAAAGAAGTACTTTGGAACTCGGGTACATTTTTATTTACAAAAAATGAAAACAATAAAGGACAAGTGTGAAGCCAATCCGCTGGAGATAGGAGTGAGGATGGCAAATCGGGGAGAGGGGATGGTCTGTGGAGAGGCAGGGAGGGGCTCTGGCTCTAGGGAGGCATAAGGGTTCCAGCCTCTCCTGGCTTCCCATGGCCAGCCCACCCTGCCTCAAAGGTTCCAGTCAATGGGCCAGCAGCTGGACTTCCCACTATCCACTCTGGGCAGAAGAATTTTCCAGAAGCCTGAGTTCTCAGCTCAAGGGACTGGAATGATAAGGAAAACTGAGGCCAGAGAGAGCCCCAGTTCCTGCTACCATTCCTCACTGTGGTGTGATCTTGGCAGCCTCAGCCCGGATAAGGGCAATGAGGTCCTGGTTGATGAGGAAGACGAAGCGCAGGCTAGCGATCTGAGTAGAAGAAAGAGGTGGCTCAGGACAAAGGTGGGACCAGGACCACAGACCAGTCTGCCACCCTCCAGGTAAGAAACCCTGGCCTCCACCTCCCTCCCAACTCACCTCCACGACAGAGTTGTTACTGAGGCGCCACTTGGAGCCACACAGCACAGGCCGGCCGTCAATATAGATGGGCCGTCGGCCCTCATTGGCAATGAAAAAGTCTCCATTGTTCTTCAGCTTGATGACACCTGTGGGGCAGAAAGGAAAAGGGAAGAGGGAAGGTCAGAAGACAGCCAGAAGCCTCCAGGTCCATCTCTGCTTCCTGAGGACATGGGCAGCAAGAAGGAACCTAGGAGTTAAGAGATCTGACCATCTCTTTCAGTTGCCTCAACTGGTCCATGTGGGTTCCCCTCAGACTCCAAGTCCCAGGGCAGGAAAGGGCAGTCAGAGGCTAGGTAAACACCTCAACATGGCTTCTCACTGGACAGGAGGGTGAGGGGTACCTTGCTTGCGGGAGATCTTCCAGGCTGGACCTTCCAGGGACAAGTCCACATCAATCTGGTTATCCTTGGTAGCTCTGCCCAAGGTGATCTGGAGAAATGGGGCAAGTGAGGGCTTGGCCCTGAGCAATAGGGTGTGGAGGTCCATGCTGGCCAGTAAGAGAGGATGAGGAACCAAGGACTAGACAAAGGGCTGTGACAGGAGGGACTCATAGTCCAGGAAGGGCCAGGGAGGGACTGCCTCACCTCTCGTGAGCGCATCAGGTACCGCACCATGCGGCCTCGCAGCACTGCCAGTGTCTGGTTGTCAAAGTCCGGAGAACTCATGCCTGGGGGAACAGCAGGGTTAGGAGGAGCCCATTTGAGGGCATGGGTGAAAGGCAGAGAACAGGCAAGGTCTATGAGTGACAGGAGTTGGAGCCTGGGAAATGGCCAGCTAGGCAACAAAAGGGATATGGCAAGGTGAAGGATACTGAAGGGTGCACCTGTTAGGGCCCTGGCCTCCTCACCTGTAATGCTGTCTACTAGCACCTGCCACTTATGCAGCTCCTGTTCCAGCTGTCGGATCTCTCTCTTCTGGCGTCGGTCAGCCACTGTCAACTCTGAGGTGAGGTGAAGTAGAGGGGTGAGGAAGACAGGCTACCAGCATCTGGTATTGGTTCTGATCCTCTCCACTCAAGGAGCTTCTACCCTCACCCCCCTCTGCCCCATCAGTGTATACTCACCATGTTCCAGGACCTCATCTCGCATGTCCCTGAGGTAGGAAAAGGATAAATCAGGCCCAGTGCCAGCTCACCTGCTGCTCAGCTTCTCTAAACCCCCTTCAACCAAGCAGCCTAGAAGGCTGAACCGTCTTCTCCAGGGTTGGGGTGGGGAAAAGGAGAAGGCAGCAAGCCTAAGTGATTCCCATGGAGTGGGTGTGGCAGTGACCGTGGGCCCAGCAGCTATAATGTGAGCCAGCTGGGCAGCCAGGGTGCCCTACCAACTGAATATGGCACTCTCTATCCCACCTACAGCCATAGCTACTCACTTGAGTTTACTGTCGTCAATCAGGTCCTCTGCGTCAGAGAAGTTCAGCACTTGGTCCCCCTTGGGCAGTGGCTGCACTGAACAAACAACAGAGAGGTGAGTGTCAAGGGTCCTACTCCAGCGCTAGCTGCTGAGCAGAAATAGCCAGAACTGGAAAGGAGTGTGGTCCTGATTCGGCACAAAGTATCCTGCACTTACTTGGAGGCCAAGATGGTTCTATCCATGAAAGGAAATTAAAACTGGCTTTTGCAAGGGCTCCTGAGCATGTGAAAGGCTCTGCATTACAGCTTTGCACTGACAGCAGGGGAGACATTACACCTTAGTTCCATTTTACAGATAAGGAAACAGATTCAGGAGGGTGGTTTAAACCAACTGACTCTAGTTTGAGCACAGCCAGCATTCAGATTCTGTGCTTCAGCTTTTCCTGCTATGCTGAAGGCTGAGAAGCCTATGCCACTGGGAAATATGTGCCAGTGGGAGCTGCCCCACCTCAAACCAGCACTGTTCAATGTGTAGGTCATGACCTGCTATTTAAAGAATGATTTTTTTTTTTGCTGGTCTGGGGCCTGAATTCTGGGCCTGGGTGCTGTTCCTCAGCTCAAGGTTAGTCCTCTACCACTTGAGCCACAGTGCCACTTCTGGCTTTTTCTGCTTATGTGATACTGAGGAATCGAACCTAGGGCTTCATGGATGCAAGGCAAGCACTCTACCATTGAGCCACTTTCCGAGATTCTTTTTTTGTCGGTCGTGAGGCTTGAACTCTGGGCTTGGGCGCTATCCCTCAGCTCAAGGCAAGCGCTCTACCGCTTGAGCCACAGTGCCACATCCGGTTTTCTAGTGGTTTATTGGAGATAAGAGTCTCATGGACTTTCTTTCCCGGGCTGGCTTTTAACTGTAATCCTCAGATCTCAGCCTCCTGAGTAGCTTGGATTACACACGTGAGCCACTGACACCAGGCTTAACAATGAGATTCTTAAGAATGTAATGAAATAGGACAATGAATATTAGAGACCACTGAGTATGTTCAGAATATTGTTTCATGGAAAGTTTTTCTTTTTCTTTCTTTTTTTTTTTTTGAGTCCGGTCGTGGGCCTGAACTATGGGCCTGGGTGCTGTTCCTCAGCTCTTCTACCACTTGAGCCACAGCACCACTTCCGGCTTTTTTTCCCCCTGCTTATGTGGTGCTGAGGAATCGAACCCAGGGCCTCATGCATGCGCTCTACCACTGAGCCACCTTCCCAGCCCACAGTTTTTCTTTTTAAAAGAAATTTCCTAGTGAGCATACATAGGGTGCCCAGAATCTGAGAATAAAAAAACTTTTGGCCTGCTGCACTGAGACTGCAGTGCTGCTCTGTAGCAAGTGACAGCTGAGGGAAGGAGCTACACAGGAGCCATACATGCTCCTTTTACTATGTCCCTTAGGTAAGACTGCGTGGGAGATGAGTGGGGTGCTCATCCCCACTAAGCTCCTCTCCTTCAGGGCTGCCTGAAATCTTGTGCAACTGACTTTCCAGCTTGCAGACCAGGGACTTCCAGCTCTAAGCAGTAAAGGATAAACTAAATCTCCACATATAGAGATTCATGGAAGAAAAAAAATATATAACCTTTAAGATAAAGCTTTCAGTTAACAATAACTTCCAAAATAGTGATAAAGGGGCCAGCTTTAGCAATAAAAATAAATTCATCCAGTGAACATTCACTCTGAGATGATGGATGAGGCTGGGGAAGAAGCAGCATTCAAGAAGCTGCAAGAATGAAGTGGGTGGCACGGGACCACAAAAACCAAAGGTCCTTAGGGGTGAGGCGGATTTTCTACAATCTTTCCTGGAAGCAGGGTGAAGGGCACAGAACAGTACGAGTTTTCAGAATTTTCAGAATGGTATGAAAAACTATGTGGAACAGAGCAGGCAGTAGCACTGAGGCAGAAGGAGCAGAACTGCACTCTGGACATGAGACTCTCACTGCAGGATTTCTGAAGTTCAGCCTGCTTTCAAGTGTAGGCTGGTGAAAGTCGAGGGGCAGCCCCTGGGGAAGGTGAAGTCTCGGTGACAGCCTGAGGACTGCTGGACAATACAGACTTTGTGGTGGGAAGAGAGGAAAAAGAACAGGGACAGCAATTGGCAGGAAAGCTTAGAAAAAGTAGTTATCTTTAGGTTGGTTAAAAAGGGGAAAGATGAACAGACATGGAGACTTGTATATTTTGCTCCTGTCTGCATGTTATCCATAAAGAATATACTAGGCTGGGTACCAGTAGCTCATGCCTATAATTCTAACTACTCAAGAGGCAGAGATCTGGAGGATCACAGTTGGAGGCCAGCCTAGATGAAAAATTCAGGAGAGCCCATCTCAACCAAGAGCTGTCATCCAAGCTACATAGACAGTTGAGATTGGGGAGAATCATAAATTCAGGCCAGCTCGGACAAAGAAGTCCATGTTCCTGTCACCCCAGCTATGGTGAGAAGTATAAATAGGAATTATAGTCCAGTCCCATTCCTAAGGCAGGAATAATAATGTGAGCAAAAAGGGCTAAAGGTAGCTCAAGCAGTAGAGCACATGCCTCACAAGGGTAAAGCCCTGAGTTCAATGACAGTTTTGTCTATATACCATATACATGCATATAGACATATACTATTTTTTTAATTTTATGTTATATTTTTTTGCCAGTCATGGGGCTTGAACTCTGGGTGCTATCCCTGAGCTCTTCAGCTCAAGGCTAGTACTCTACCACTTGAGCCACAGTGCCACTTCCCGTTTTCTAGTGGTTTATTGGAGATAAGATTCTCATGGAGCCTGACGCCAGTGGCTCACACCTATAATTCTAGCTACTCAGGAGGCTGATATCTGAGGATGGCAGTTCAAAGCCAGCCCGGGCAGGAAAGTCCGTGAGACTCTTATCTCCAATAAACCACTAGAAAACTAGAATGGTGCTGTGGCTCAAGGGGTATGGCGCTTGCCTTGAGCTGAAGAGTGCAGGGACAGCACCCCAAGCCCAGAGTTCAAGCCCCACGACTGATCAAAAAAAAAAAAAAAAAAGAGTTTCACGGACTTTTCTTGCCTGGGCTGGCTTTGAACCATGATCCTCAGATCTCAGACTCCTGAGTAGCTAGGCTTATAGGCATGAACCACTGGTACCCAGCTATACTATACTATTTTTATGTCAAGAAAAACAAAATTTAAAAAGATATGGTCTGGAGACTGGTGGTTTATGCCTGTAATCTTAGCTACTCAGGAGGCCAAGATTTAAGAATCACGATTCAAAGCCAGCCTGGGCAGGAAAGACCATGAGACTTGTCTCCAATTAACCAGCAAAAAGCTGGAAGTGGAGCTGTGGATCAAGTGGTAGAATGCTAGCCTTGAGCAAACCAAGGAGCTCAAGGACAGTGCCCAGGCCCAGAGTTCAAGTGCTAGGACTGGGGGGAGGTGGAGGGGGGGGAGACATGGTAGACAACTCTAGACTTTTGGCCCAAGCTATTAAGCAGTTTGGACTACCTATACCATGATGCCAAAGACCATTCTGGCTGTTCCTTCCCCTTCTGGATGAAAGCAGTTTCTGCTGCAAAGTGAACACAACTAAAGACTATTGTAGACACTTGAAGGAAGCCATGCCCAGGACAATTCATGCCTGCCTGCTCATTGTGCCAGCTCCTGCAGTTTTACCTGTCTGGTCCTCCAGCAGGTAATACTGCTTCATGAGCTGCCAGTGGGCCTGTAGTGCCTTGGCGGTACGGGCCAGGTAGAAGGCATCAGGGTGTCTGTGCAACAAGTCCTGGAAAGTCTCCAAGGTGGGCTGGCTGGTCTGGAGGTGAGAAACATTCTGTATGTGTCTGTGCTTTCTCACTCCCACCTCTGCCTTCCCACCTCTGCCTCAGGCCCCCACGAGAGCTGGAAGAAACAACAGTTACTAGGATCCTCCTGAGGCCTGTTACAAAAGGCCCTGTCCCACAGTTACACATGCAGGGAGTGCCCTAGCCCTCAGCCGTACCGATCCCACTTTACTCAACAGCTGCTCCTCAGCTTTGCTAAATAGTGCCTTGCTCTGGATGGCTGCAATGGCCTCTGGGTGCAGCTGCCTCATGGCCTGGCAGGCTAGTCTGGGAACAAGAAGAAACAGCAGGATTAAAGAGAGCTGTCAAGCAACCTGGTGTTTCTACTTTCTCAAAACCTGTAGGCTTTTAAGATCCAGAATCTAAATGTTGGGTCTTCAATAGGAGAGCCCAAGTCTTAGTGCAACACCATGGGACAAATGAATAAATTAGGCAACTCCAGAGCTCCAATGCTCTCTAAATCCCAGTCCTAGGGTACATCTGAGGCTAGATGCAGCTCCCTCCCTCTCTGCTTACTTGGCTAAAGCTGACACCCACTAGTAACTGCCTACACCACCTGTGTGCTGAACTGAGGCCAGCCCGATTCCCAGTGTATCGGGGCTACAGCTAAGTGGTGTAGGAGTCTGTGGGGGAGTAGACGATGGATGCTTAGCATCCAACCAAATTTTCAAGACATTAAACTAAGTGACTTGAGGAGAAGGGAGAATGTGGAATATGTGTGCATGAGCTTATTTGAAACTGGCTGTTAAAGTTAGAAGGGGACTTGGTAGTCTTCTGTTCCAACTCCTTCAACCTATGAGGAAGAAACTGTGGGAGGCCAGTGTGGAAAGGTTGGATGGTGACCTGCCTAAAGTCACAAGGTGGTAGAAGTGGAACTCCTAGCATTTGTGTGGACATTCTCTCTCACACACTTCTGTGCTTTCAGACTCTCCTGCATCTGGCATCAAGCCAGGACTAGTGGAGCTGGCGGCAGGAAGGAGCTTCCCTGTGAAGTCTGCCTAGTCCTCAAATCATCCCAAGGCCAGACCTCGTAATGCTGACTCCCAAGCCCCTCCCTTGGCCCTGGTACAGTTTGGCCCTCTTGTACCAGTAGCCAAATTCTTGTAACCCCAGTACTTACTCATGGAAGGAGCCAGCCCCACTCACTTGGAGATAACAGGATCGTAGAGCAGAGCGTACCAGCGCTCCTGGACTTCCCGAAGGGTGAAGCGGCAGCTGAACTTCACACCCAGGTGGACAGATGTCAGGTCATTAGTCTGCAAGGCCCCAGAGGGGGTGGTTCCAATCTCAACATTGATACAAGCCCTTCCCATGCCACCCCCCAGGGCTCTGCTGGGCTAAATTAGAGGAACATAATCTTTCGGTGGACGCATTACCTGCAAGACAGCATTGATGAGCAAGAGGTCATCTGCAGGCTTCCAGCGGCCCAGATCCTTGGTCACCTGAAGTGGCTGTTTGCTTTTCTTCACACGCTTGGTGAGTCCAGGGGCTGGGGCAGGGCTGGGTGGCACAGGAGTGTTGCTAGGGGCCTTGGATACCTGGGCAGAGACAGGATTGCAACAGACTCAAAGCTGTCATCCAGGTGGCTGGGACTACACAGGCCTAGAGCTTCATGTATTACGTGGCAGCTGCAGACTCAGCCAACAGGAAGCAAGGCAGAGAGCTCAGCTTTCCAAAATCCATCCCCCACCAAATTACACTGACATAATCCTTGACCATATGGGGTCTTCTCTTTGCTGGTGGTACCCTCAACCCCAGAATGGAGAGTGGGTGGGGATGATACCAGGAAAACACTCTTGCTGATGCAGTGTCTGGGGCCAGAGCAATGCCACCTGGGGGTTATTTTTACACCCTGCAAAGCTGAGAACAAGCTGTCTGCTCCCAGAATAGATGCATGCTCCCTGCCTCCCACACGGAATGTGATACAGGATGCACTGGCAGGGTAGTGGGTGCAGCAAGAAAAGGGAGTGGGGAGAGAGAGGAGGGAGGGATCTGAGGTGGGGGCTGGGGCAGACCAGTCCTCACAGCCTCCTCTGCAGGGCTCTTGGCAGCTGGCAAAGGATTTGGGAAAACAAAATCTAGTGCTCTCCCTTCCTCCCAGCCACCTCTCCCAGTTCCTCACCTTCTTCTTCTCACTGGAGGAGGGCTCACTCCCAGAACAGCGCCCTGGTTCTACCGCGCTGGTTCCTTTTGCCCGGGTAGAGGACTTTGCAAGGCTGCTCTCCACTAGCTCATCATCAAACTTCTTCCTCTTGATGAACCTGTGGAGGGTCCCATGTAGTAGTCAGTCATCTGTACCCCACCCCACCCTGGAACCCACTCCTATGCCCCAGCTTCCAGAACACAGCAGGATCCTACAGTAGCTAACATTCTACTGCTTTCACCTTCTACCAGAGCCTAGCTCAGTGGTCATGGAACTGTCACATGCTGGTCCTCTGAGATGACAGCTGACTGTACACACAGACTTCATGTCAAAGAATGAATATGTCCCTCCCTTGCCCTCAGTGCCAGGGGAAGATACTGATAGGGACAGGAAAAGCCCAAGGCTCCGCTTAGACCCCATAGGGACTCAGGTCAGGGACTCAACCATTCTCTGGCCTGAGCCCTAATTCAATGACTAATGGCATAGGCCTTCTTTGTCTCCTGGTCCCTCTGAACTCTGGTTACCTGGAGGAGCTTCTCCGTTTAGGAATGGTGCCCAAAGCCTGGGAAGATGCTCGCTTTTGCCCTGCCAATGACTCTTCATCCTCTGAGCGGCTGGCAGTGCCTGATGCCATCAGGGATGAATCTAACAGCCCCTGAGAATCTAGAAAAAGAGAAATGGTGAACTAAGGCCTCCCAAGAGTCCAGAGCCTCCAGCCTCTACACATCGGATCCCTCCTCAACCCCTTCTCCTGCCAGCCTTCTTGACCCCTCCTCTGCCTTCTTGACATTTGAGGTTTTAAGGTGGGAGTTTCTTGGCCATCCAGATCCCATCTGGGCTCAGACCTGGCCCAGACCTTCCACGCTGGGCAGCTGTCCTGGTGCCACGTGTCATGTTGTGCAGCACATGGTGCTCAGGTCATACTGATGATGCCGACACACTGGGCTCTGGGTATAACTGTTCCCTCTGCCATCAAAATGCAGTGTGCCAAAGAGCAGCAGCTCAACAGCAAGTCAGTCAATTGTGGCTCTGCCGAGAGGTACGTGGGTAGTGCTGGCCCAGGGGGAGGTGGCAATACCCAGCCAGGACCGAAAAACACACGTGCCAGGCACAGGGTGGAATCAGCAGATGCTTGATGCCCGGGCATTTGGGGAGCTGGCCTGGCCTCATACTACCTTTGTCCATCCTCTTACAGTCACAAAGCCACGGGTTCCAAACCACAGGGCTAGGAGGAAGGGTCCCACAGGCTCATCCAAGGATTCTGACCAGGTGAGCTTGGAAGATGAGAGAAGATTCTGCAAAGGAAAAAATGAGGCTTCCTGAGGCTCAGGTTTTTTTGACTGGCAGCTTCATCTCAGACTAGACTAAGTAAGACACAGGGAGTGAAATAAGGCATAATGATGTACTCTCAAAATTAGCCTTAGAAATGTGTAGCCCTTCAAGGGTTAGAGTGGTTGCTTAGCACGTGTGAAACCCTGGTTGCATTCCCCTGTATTACAAAAGTCAACAACAACAACAAAAACCCACAACACAAATGGTAGCTTTGTGAAAGTCACTCTTTTAAGAATATGGTAAAACTGAAAACTCCAGAAAAATGTACAAACACATACTATTTCAGGGGGTTCACAGATATCTCTAATTTCTACTCATAAGTAGATGCTTTAGGGTAAGCATTCTGGAAGGAATCAAGGGTTTCTTGGCTCACTTAAAAAAAAAAATCACTTCTTGCTGGGTGCCTGTGGCTCATGCCTGTAATCCTAGCTACTTAGGAGGCTGAAATCTGAGGATCGTGGTTCAAAGCCAGCCCGGGCAGGAAAGTCCGAAACTCTTATCTCCAACAAACCACTCAGAAAACCGGAAGTGGTTCGCTGTGGCTCAAGCGGTAGAGCGATCACCATGAGCTGAAGAGCTGAGGGCCAGGGCCCAAGCCCAGAGTTCAAGCCCCACGACCGACCAAAAAAAAAAAAATCATTTCTCTTTAAAAAACAAAACATGCCGGGCGCTGGTGGCTCACGCCTGTAATCCTAGCTACTCAGGAGGCTGAGATCTGAGGATCGCAGTTCAAAGCCAGCCCGGGCAGGAGAGACTGTGAGACTCCTATCTCCAATAAACCACTAGAAAACCGGAAGTGGCGCTGTAGCTCAAGTGGTAGAGCGCTCACCTTGAGCTGAAGAGCTGAGGGACAGCACCCAGGCCCAGAGTTCAAGCCCCACAACCGACAAAAAAAAATAAAAATAAAAAACAAAACATTTCTCTCAGGTCAAGGCAGGGAAAAGAAAACCTTTATTTCTTCCTCCTACTTAACAAGTTTTTGCTGAAGTGTGTGGTACTTTGTGGAAAGTTTGAGAACTGTGTGATTCATCAGTGGCCTTCTCTCCAACTCAAAAAACTCAGATATTGAACTTGTGCCCTTTTCTAACCAGTCTCTTAGCGAATTGTTCTAGGTGTCCTGCAGGTCGCGACCGGAAGTTACGGAGGGGAAATGTTGTGACGCCAAGAGTTTAGGGTAAAAGGACCGGATCCCGTCCGCAAATTGAAGAAAGTAGGCTCCCTCCTTTCCCGCCCTCAGCCCTTCTTTCCGCTAGAGCACCGCCAAGGTGCGTGATCAGACCACGCTAGTGTGAAGTGCTTAGGGTCAGAGTGGTGACGAAGTCAGCTAAGTAACTCGACGTACAAAATTAAAGGAAGCCCAACACTCTCGTGGGCTGGCCTAAACCAGACAGGCGTGGTCAACTTCTACGCTCAGGTTCATCCCATCACCTGCATGCCTCTTGTGCGCATGCGTGCCACTACGAGCCAGAGTCCAGGCCAACCCGACCCACGCATGCGCAGGTTTTCGGGGCGCTACCGGGGCGGGGCCCCAAGCCTTATAGGGGTGAGGGGTTGTCCCTCGAGGCACTCTGGGAAATACCATCCCACCCCCTACTCTACTCAGAACCCTCAGAGCCGAATTTCAAGGTCTCACCATTCCTAGGTTCCCAGCTCCAAATGTATCTCCGCCGCGACAGCAGGAGCCGCAGGACCAAAGCCGGCTTCCGTGAGGTACGTCTACTTCCGGGTTATGAACTAGGGGCGGGACAATCTCTTCCGGTTCGTCCTGGAAACGCGCGTAAAGGGGGCGTGGCGAGCAGTGGGGAGCCGAAAGTAAAACAAAACAAAACAACTTCCACGTTTGGGACGGCATTTGGGGAAACGGCAGAGTTTTACCTGAGAGGTTAGCCGGTGGCTAAAGAGAAGAACTAGACTTGGGACGAGAAGTAGCTGAAGCTCCGAGCGCCCGTGGCTCACGCCTGTCATCCAGCCACTCCAGAAGCTGAGATAAGAGGACCGCGGTTCGAAGCCAGCCTTGCCAGAAAAACTCCGTGAGACTTTCATCTCCAGTTAACCAGCAAAAAGCCGTGACTCACGTGGTAAAGTGCTATCCTTGAATTAAAAAAATAAGTAAGTTCTGACGCCGAGCGCTGGGGACGCACGCCTGTCACCTTAGCCACTCAGGAGGCTGAGAAGATCCATGGCTCGATGCCAACCCGGGCAGAAAGTCCGTGAGACTTTTCTCTCCAATTAGCCACCAGGAACCTGGAAGCGGTGCTGTGGCTCAAAAGTCGTAGAGCGCTAACCTTGAGCAAAAAAAGCTCAGGGACAACGCTTAGACCCTGAGTTCAAGCCCACAGCCGACAAAAAAAGAAAAGAAAAAAAAGTTCTGGTACAGTGCCCACGCCCTGAGTTAAAATCCCAGGACTTCCCCTACCCCCCACCCCCAAAAACAGTCCACTTTATTTACCTAATATAACCTATTTAATGAACATACATTTTCAGTTTTGTGTGTTTCTGATTCAAGTCCTAGCACTATCATTGAGAGTTCGTTTTTTACTATCAAAGTTTGTACTCCACTACTTGAGCCACAACTCTACTTCTGGCTTTTTTTCTTTCTTTTTTTTTTTTTTTTGGTGAATTGGAGATAAGAGTCTGATGGACTTTTCTGCCAGCCCTGGCTTCAAGCCCAGATCCTCATATCTCAGCCGCTGGAATAGTATTACTAGTGTAAGCCCATGGCCCCAAGCTGAGATGCAGACCTTTGGCCCAGGTGCCATAGCATATACCTGTAATCCCAGCTACTTGGGAGACTGCGAGAGAAGTTCTAGTCCATCCTGGACTACATAGTGAGACTCTGTCTCCACAGAGAAAAAGAAAAGATGGAGACACTCTAGAATATATCCAGAATCTGACCTATTGCCAGTTTCTCACCTCTTCTTGTTCCAGGTCCCCACCCCCAGTCATCTCACCAGAACTTTTTAAGGCATGAGCTCCCTTATTGACTTCCCAGTGTTCATCCTTACTGCTTCACCTCTAATTCACTCACAGAAACCAGAGTATTCTTATTAAAATGTATATCTCCTCATATCCCACCTGTGTTCAAAGTTCTCCATGTAAGGTGTCTTGGTGGAAGTGTTCAGTCTGAGAGGTAGACACACTAGTTCAGTCCAGGAAAAGGCCTACAGAGACACACAGAAGAACTCATTATCGTGAAGATGGGGATATAAATGCCCAGGGAGAAAGCATAGATGGAGAATAGGAAGCCCCAAGACCAATGTAGGGAGTGTTCCAACAGTTAAGATAAGGTAGAGGAGGAGAAGCCAGCAAAAAAACTGTAAATGAAGAGCTGCATTACTCATCCAGACTCAATGAAATACCCTTGGCTTGAGAGTAGTCTTTCATAATCTGCCATTCCTTGGAATACGGGTGGCTTTCTTGGAGACCAGATTCATGGATCATGTTTGATCTTTGCTCAGGGCCCAAGGCTCCTACTAGGTGATTAGAACAGGTTAAAAACACAAGTTCTAGAGTCAAAAATTCCTAGTTTTAGACTTTTATCACCTAGGGGCTGGAAATGTGGCTTAGTGGTAGAGTACTTGCTTAACATGGGTTCAGTTCCTCAGTACCACACAAACAGAAAAAGTTGGAAGTGGCCCTGTGGCTCAAGTGGTAGAGTGCTAACCTTGAGCAAAAAGAAGCATTAGGGATGGTGCTACAGGCCCTGAGTTCAAGCCCCAGAGCTGGCAAAAACAAAAACAAAAAACCAGAAAAAAGCCGGGCGCTGGTGGCTCACGCCTGTAATCCTAGCTACTCAGGAGGCTGAGATCTGAGGATCGAGGTTCAATGCCAGCCCAGGCAGGAGAGACCGTGAGACTCCTATCTCCAATAAACCACCAGAAAACCGGAAGTGGCGCTGTAGCTCAAGTGGTAGAGCGCTCGCCTTGAGCTGAAGAGCTGAGGGACAGCACCCAGGCCCAGAGTTCAAGCAAAAAAAAACAGAAAAAGCCAGAAGTGTCACTGTGGCTCAAGTGGTAGAGTGCTAACCTTGAGCAAAAGAAGCTCAGGGACAGTGGCTGGGCTCTGAGTTCAAGCCCCAGGACTGAAAAAAAAAAAAAAAAGACTTCTCTCACCCACTGGTTTGTGACCAGGAAGAAATTACTTTTGTGTCTCCATTTCCTCATCTGTGGCTGAAAAAGTAGTTTTCGAGTAAATCGTTTACTACTTAAGTTTATAGGAGATAACTATTGTACTGTTCTTAGGGCTTGTTTTCAGCATCTCCTACCAAGTGAGCTGAGTCTAGGACCCAAACTTTGATACCCCTGTGGCTCCTCATTCCTTTTTTTTGGTTGGTTGTGGGGCTTGAACTCTGGGCCTGGGTGCTGTCCCTGAGTTCTTCAGCTCAAGGCTAACACTCTACCACTTGAGCCGTAGTGCCACTTCAGGCTTTTTCTATGTATGTGGTACTGAGAAATCGAACCCTGGGCTTCATGCATGCTAGGAAACCACTCTACCACTAGGCCACATTCCCAGCCCACTCCTTATTCTTGTCCTCTAGAGCAAGGCCAATTGTCCTCTCACCTGAGGCTGTTATCTCCAGAGACCCACTCAGAGGCCATAGGGCTTCCTCTGTTGGCTCAAATACTTTATCATCCCAACGGTCAAATTTTATAAATCTGTTGACCAGTACAAAGTTACTTTTGTATTCACAATGCAATTTAAGTTGCCATAATGATGGGTTTTTTCACTTTCAAGAATATGGTAAAAGCTCCAGAAAAATATACAAACACAGACTATTTTAGGGGGTTTACAGACTTCTGTAATTCTACTTAGAAGTGCTAGGTTAAGCATTCTAACTTCAAACTGGAAAAATCAAAGGCTTCTTGGCTTACTTTTTCTTTTCTTTTTTTTTCTTTTGTCAGTTGTAGAGCTTGAACTCAGGGTCTGGGTACTGTCCCTGCACTCTTCCACTGAGCCACCTCCCCAGCCCTCCCTGAATTCTTTTGCTCAAAAGCAAAAGATAGCACTCTGTCACTTTGAGCCACAGCACCAATTCCTGTGGTTGAGTGGTTAATTGAAGATCAGAGTCTCATGGGAACTTTTCTGTCTGCACTGGCTTTGAACTGTGATCCTCAAATTTCAGCCTCCTGAGTAGCTAGGATTACAGGCGAGAGCCACCAGCGCCCAGCTTATTATTTTTTTTTAATCTTAATCTAAAATTCAGAATCACTTAATGAAAAAACTCAGGTTACCTGGGTGCCAGTGCTCATGCCTGTAAGCCTTGCTATTCAAGAGGCTGAGATCTGAGGATCATGGTTTAGAACCAGCCCAGGTTAGAAAGTTCGTGAGACACTTATTTCTAATTAACCACCAGAAAACCAGAAGTGGCACTGTGACTAAATGACTAAAAGTAGTAGAGTGCTAGCCTTGAGCAAAAAAAAAAAAAAAAAAACAACTCAGGAACAGCACCCAGACCCTAAGTTCAAAACCTACTACTGACCACAAAAACAAAAAACACCCCATAGTATTCCCACTAAGGCTAAAAGTGTGAAAAAGCATGCAAAATTTAAAAATAAAGTTTGGTATGTAACAAAGATTAACCAGAAAACTTTTTATTTGATATGGCTTTGAAATATTTGCCTACATAATTACGTGAGAAAGGAATGCGATGTAAAAACTAGAATTGCCAGGGGCCAGTGGCTCATGCCTGTCATCCTAGATTTGCAGGAGGTTGAGATCTGAGGATTGTGATTAGAAGTTAGCCTGAGCAGACAAATCCATGAGAATTATATCTCCAATGAGCTAGCAAGAAGCAGAGGGGTATTCAAGTGGTGGAGTGTCAGCTGTGAGGTAGGAGAAGAGTGAGTGAGAATGTGAGGCTTTGAGTGTAAGATCCAAGGGTGGTGCATATGCATCCCCTCCTCCCAAAAAATTCCAGAAGAGTTAAAATATTTATGATGATAGACTGTAGTCACGGACATCAACTGGGGGACTGGGAAGGTGGCTCAGTGGTAGAGCGCTTGCCTCGCATGCATGAGGCCCTGGGTTCAATTCCTCAGCACCACATAAACTGAAAAAGCCAGAGTGGTGCTGTGGCTCAAGTGGTAGAGAGCCCGCATTTAGCTGAAGAGCTGAGGGACAGCACCCAGGCCCAGAGTGCAAGCCCCATGACTGACCAAAAAAAAAAAAAAAAGAACATCAACTTACAAACAAATACAAATAACAAATACGATGTTTTAGCAAAATGGGTACAAATTAATATATATTTAAACATAAGCAACACCAAATAGAAAGTACAATTTTAAATAGCAACAACAAAGTAAAATAATTAGTCATAATATAATCATAAATGTGCTAGATCAAGATGTCTAAAACTAAAATACTATCAAAGAATACAAAAGAAGGCTTGGATAAATGGAAAAGCATCTTGGGTGTGACTGAAGCATACTCTCTTGTTGTGATTCAGTATCATAAAGATGTCACTCTTCATAATTTAATCTATAAATACAGTCTAATAAAAATGCTAATATACTACATGACTTAAATATAAAGTTCATATAGAAATTTGTGCATCAAGATTAGTTGTTGAGCCGGGTACTGGTGGCTCATGCCACTCAGGAGGCTGAGATCTGAGGCTCGTGGTTCAAAACCAGCCCGAGCAAGAAAGTCCATGAGACTCTTATCTCCAATAAATCACTCAAAAACTGGAAGTGGTGCTGTGGCTCAAGTGGTAAAGGG